TTTTCAAACGTTGCATGTAAAGCCCTTTGGAGTGATTTCCTTAAAAAAATGTCGTTAGTTGATTATCAAAACAAACTTTGACCACCTTTTAATCAATTTTAAAAAGGCAAAATTGTAACTTTCTATTTACCACATTAAATAATTAAAAAACTCAAATAAAAAAAAAAGTTTCTTCTTCTTCTTCTCTTCCCCCCACTTACACCCTCAATTTAGTCACTAGCGGTTCCAGCCAGTCTTCGTAGATGAAAATTTTCAAGGGATTACAATGGGGACAAAATTTTAATATCAAAAGGATAATAATTTATGCTCGAAGAGTCTCTAAAGTTAAGTATTCAATATTAAGTGGAGAATTTTTTCTTAAGATGTGTTTGATTGCAAGAATGAAATTTGTAAAGAAAGAAAATAAATTCTAGAATTTACTTGCATGAAAATTGTTAATTAAATGTATTTAATTGATTTAATTTTCATTCTATAAAATATTATACTTGTCCCTTTTTTTATCGATGAGTAGATGAGTAAGAGTGGATAGATGAGAGAGAGAATAAGAAAGTGCGAATTCCTGGAAAATAAAATTTTACTTTCCCAGAAAAATATTTTCCTTTATTTTGAGAAAAATATGGTTAGGTGATCAAAAGTAAAAAAATATTTTTCATCAAAAAAATGACAATCAAACAGCACAAAAGTAACAATTTGGATAACAAATACATTTTCCATAGAAATTGGTATGGCCCCACGAAACCCACAAAGATCCGGCATTGAATTTTCAGCCGTGTAGAAATGGAAAATTTGGTCAATGGTTCAGATTCAAGAAGCATGTTGGAAACCTCACCCGACCCGCATAGTCCAATACCGAAAACGACTCTTTTTGGGTAGAGGCCCAGAAAGGAAACTTGTACGAAGCAACTGTGGGTCCCTAAGAACCGACAAAAACTAGAGATAAGATAACCGGCAGAGACGGGGGTGGACTGGTGGTTAAATATTAACTGCAACAAGACTTTTATTCAAACCCCACATGTAACCAGGGTTAACCAATTCCCCCGTATTCGAGGTTCGTAATTAATTAAAATAATAAAAGCGTTATTTATGGTGGGTTCCGCCGTGTCATGTGTATGAGCCTTGTGGCGAAATGGAGCTATCTCTACCTGACACGTGGATAATAATATCGCGGATGTGTACTACAATTCAATTTTGTTGATGGTGGTGGAGCCCATTGGAATTATTACAGCGTCAGTGATTTTTATTGGTTTAGATATTAAGCTAGATAGAGTCAGGTTAACTGCCAGCTTTGATTTGTGTGCCTCTGTTTGTCCGTTTCCAATTTATTACCTTCGCCGTTACGGTTAGTGCTACTTACTATGAGGGTGACCGGCTGGTTGATCCTTACGGACAGAAAGTTCAAGTATTCATGAAAAATAAATTATTTTGAAATATATTTTGAATTTTACCTCCAAATCCCAATAGACGTATAGAACAATAAAATTCATCACTAATTGATGGAATTTAAAAAGTATATTTTTATCAGAATTTAATATTTTATTTGCATCAAAAAATTTTGAAATGAAAAAATAGCAGCAACGATCTCTAATTTTTAATTTTGTGAGGCTTTATCCTAATTTTCAATTTGTGTCAACAAAGATCCATAACTTTTGAGAAATTAGTTGTAGAGATCCAATTATTAGTTGATCAATTCGTCGTCATCAATATAATCTTGATTTTGTTCAATTACATTGAACAACAGCTCAATCCAGAAGCGCCACCTACTCATGATTGAACCATCACTCCGAAAATATGGCATTTTGTTTTTTAAAATTTGAATTAAAATTAACAATTTTGGGAAAAAGCTTGAATCCATGGCTATCACTACACCAAAACGTCAATGAGAGGTACCCAAAAAAAAAAAAAAAAAAAATTGTTGCATGGTTGTCACTACCGGAACTCTCTTGAAGTTGCAGATTAACCCAACTTCTTAGTGCATATGTATTAAATTGACATAGCAGCAGACTCTTTCATGGATTATTTGTCCCAACAATTAACTCTTTCAAAACAACTAAAACTAGTTTAGAAAAATTAATAACAAATTGGTTACTTTAAATTGAATTTAATCTCACCTGCGTAGTTTAGATATAGTTTGTTGGATCAATTGCAATGGAAAATCATTCACAATCCCAAATTATTCACTGTTTTGTATTGAGCTATTAAAATGGGTGATAATTGAGCTTTTGGTATGACAGGTTGCAATTGATATTGTTTTGGGATGGAGGTGAAGGTGGGGATTTGTAGGGAAGGCTGAGGCTGCAGTGAGTGGTGGCGGCTGTTGAAGCAATTTCGAGAGTTCTTTATTGTTGTAAAACCTCAATCTTGAGGGTTCTTATCGTCCTACACCTAGAGCTTTGTGAGGGAGGTAAATTGCGGGATGTGTCCTAACAGATCAGGGAACAAGAGCTGCCTATACACTGCGCCTACAAGGGGTCAAATTCTATATCTCAAGAATTTAACCTCCATACTGCGGCTGCCAACAAGGCGTGAGATAACCTAACTCCTGTCATTTGCACCAATGGGGTGAACAATAATTTGTTTTTATTTCTTTTCTTTAAAAAAAAAAACTATTTTATTTATGTTAAAATTATAAAGTTACCATTTTCTTCTTATAAGATTTGGTCAAATCAATTTTATTAGTCAATTAACGGTCAAATTTCATCCATTTGGATCTCTGTTGCTAATTTCTCCAACATTAGGAAATTTCGTTGGCACAAATTAAAAATTAGAGTAAATGAACAGAATTTGTTTGGATTAGCTGTGCTTTTTACCGAAAATTAACGATGCCGACGAAAAAAGGGGTCCCTATAAAAAAAATAGCGTTAAACGGAGCGGTAAAATTAACTACCGTTTGAGTGCAACAAGCAGTCCCTTAGCACACGGATTTATTCATTTTCTTTTTAAAAGTAGGTCCCAATTCATGGGTCCCACCTAAAACACCCTTTCACACTCCTCCGCTATAAATATTGGCTTGCGGCTGCTCTCCAACTGCTAGAATTCTCTCTCTCTCTCTCTCTCTCTCAATCCTCAGTTCCTCTCTCTTAATACAAGGTTCTTTCCATTTCTATTAACAATTCGAAACAAAAATCTCTTCGCGTCAATTGAAAAGTTCATATAATTGCTCATTTTCCGAGAAAATAGTTCTCTGTCGTTGTTTTTGTCAATTTTCTCGCAAGGTATGCCGGTGATTTCAACACTTTTGCTGAATATATCGGTGTTTTTTATTCTCACGTGATTTTATTTTTTGGTGAAAGTTTCACTATATATGTTTTACGTTCTTTACTTGTTATGTATTTATTTATTTTTATTTCGCGGGTTTTCTTCTTTCGGTTTATATCTCAGAACTTTTATTTTGTATGATTCCTCAATTTTTTTTTACAGTATTTTATTTATCGTCGTGAATTACAACGTGTATATGTCTCTATGTTCCCTAAGGTTCTTTGTCGTACATTTCTGATTTATTTTATTTTATTTCCCCCCCCCCCCCTCCACCCCCTTC